ACATCTGAGGGCAGCAGCACACAGTACATCTAGACTAAACCTAGTATGATGGCTGCTGTCTAAACACAAACTACTGACTGCATCAAACGGATGCTATCAGATCACAACACATGCTAGCAATCAATTCGGTGAGTAGGATGGGCGAAGATACCTTGCCCTCGACCTCCCAGAGGACGCCGTTCTCGAGCTCCTTGTAGGTGAAGGAGTCCGACAGGAGCTCGTCGCCTGCAAGACACGAAAACCAGAGCGCACAACGAATTAGACGGATCGCACAACGACTCGTCCAATCGATCGCAGATCTAAGCCAGCAGCAAAGCGAGGACGAGATCGGTTTTCTACACATCGCACGCGACACGACTAGACCACCAGATCCGGCAATCGGAAACCAAGCGAATACAACTACAAACGGGTAAGAAAATTGATCAGGTGAAATTCGCACGCACCAGAGAGCAGATCCTGGTAGACCAACATGGCGCCGCCGGTTCTCGGAACCCTAGCTCGCTCGCTTGTGGAGGACGAGGAGACGAGGCAGGAGGCGCGGCACAGCGAGCGAGGTTTGGGGCCGAGGGCGGCCGCGGCGCATTTATGGCCCCGGAAAACATCTGGGCCGCGGTGGCAGCCTGTCCGATCCGCAGCCCCTGACGGCCCAGATGCTCGATCTGGCCGTGACGGGCGCTTTTGGGAAAGGAGTCCCTGTCCTCCGGGTAATTCGGGAGGAGTCTCTTTCCCTTTCCCGTGGGGACGCGTCGGGCGAGAGCGAGACTGGGCCGTCCGATCGGGGTATCTGCGCCGGATATTCGCGCGCGGACGGCTGGGATGCGCGTGCGCCGCCGCCGTAGGGTCAGCGTTGGTTGGCACGCAACCATCGGTCGGGATTTCTTTTGGAAAAGCCCCTGTCGTAGCGTGACGGAACGGAATCAGGCAGGCATTCAGGCGTGCGCGGATTGGCTGGCCTCCGCCGCGTCTGGTGCTGCCGACCAGCCGACGACCACTGTGGCCGTGCCGCGTCCCTGTCGTCGTGTCCATTACAAAGCTCGCAGACAAAAACCCCGTTCTATGGATCTCTTTAGAACGCAAGATTAATTAAACAAGGAAAACATAAGAATACGATAAAAGAATGTAACAGAAAAGAAGCTTTTCATGAGGTTTAACCTTCTTATAATTCTTCAAAATTCATATGAAACAAGCCATTCTTTAAGAGTTTTATAAAAAAAATACACGAACCCAACCTTAAATCCAAATGTTTTTTTTAATTTTTCCCTATGGGGTAGGATTTCAATCCTCTAGAATTTTTCTATTTTTTCTTTGTTCAAGGGGGCTAAAAAAGCAAAGGCTAAAGTCCTGTTTGTATGGTATGGTATTTAAAAAATGTGAGTATTTTAATAAGACACTACTGCATAGAAGATAACCCATGCATCCCCATAACTCTTCGAGGAAAACATCTAGGAATTCATTTACAGCCCCGATGTCTTTAACTCGATAGGATCTTGACATTCAAAGAGCAAAAGTCGTGGGCTGATTTTGATGCTAAGTGCTAAGCTTTAGAAGTACTCATTGTTCAGAAGGAGGTCTACACCGAGGAATAGGTTAAGGGGTGCACTCTCCTAGCACTTGATCCCCCTTGGATGATGAGAAGGGGAGAGAAAAGTTTGGATGGGTGGTACCATTTGTAGTAGGTGAACACCAAGCTTTCATTACGATGCATTACGAACAACTCATCTTCCTTTTGTTGCTATCTATCCCATCTTCTTGGCGCATCATCATGCCAACACTTCCTGGCGCATCAAGCATTTCTAAAAATTTACAGTAACCATCATGAGTAACGTGCTCGCTACCACATTTTCACAAAAAGCATGAAGTGATCACATTTATTTTACTTGTGTTTTTTTTTAACAAAGTTGAACAATGTTCATTGATCTTTGTGAGGGCTCTCACATGTCGAGAAATCGATGGGCTAATTACATGAGATATAAAAATGCTATTGTCTAAGTCTCTCAATTTGTTTAAATCTTTTGTTGTAGATCCATATTTTCATGATCTGGTTAAGAAGGCTTCTTTATGAGATACCAACACATACATCAAGTTGGCCTAATGTCAGCTTTGACGATGCATGATGAAGCCTGATGCTTTTGTCATGTTCACTGCCAGCCACGCTCTCTAGCTCCCGAACCATCCTCGCCACTCTATCTCCCGAACCATCACTTACGTCTTGATTCAATTTGGTCACTAAAAGCTGGCTTATTCGGCTTCTTTTTCAGCCGGAACAGTATTTTCTCTCACAACAATTCAGCCGGAACAGTGTTTTTGAGCCAAATTCAGCCCAGCGAACGTTTAACTTTTTTTCTTAATAGCATCTTTAACAGATTACTTATCTCATCCATAATACCAAAAAAATACGATATAAGAGATTATGGTTACTTCAATATAGACTATTACTTATCATATCCTGATATCTAAAAGTTTCAAGTAATTGCTCAAAAGATACTCCCGTCCCTTAAATGTAGGAGATCCACCCTCTATATATCAATTTTAAATGTGTTGATTGATAATATGTTGGAGAAGAAAGAGAAAATGATACCCTATAGAAGACCACTCATATAAATTTTTAGGAAACTAGCTATGGCCCCGCGCGGTGCCGCGGGCGATAATAGTGAGAAATATGAGTAGAGAATGTATTGTTCAATGTTTGGCACAAAATGAATTGGCCTGCTTTGATATGTAAAAGAATTACCTTTTTTTAGAAAGAAATGGTCTAACCTAGTATACAAAGAACATTAGCTGTGTTGGGAGTGTCTAGCATTGGAAAGGAAGAGAGCAAAAGTAGCGAAAAAACAGCAGTAAGTAAAAAAAAGCAATACGTAGCACTGTTTTGGAGTGTCTACCATTGGAAAGGAAGAGAGCAAAAGTAGCGGGAAAACAGCAGTAAGTTAAAAAAACAGTACGTAGCATGAAAAGAAGAGAGCAGTAGGAAAAGGGAGAAGAAAAGGGAAAAATCATTCGATGCAGTAGTCGGGGTACTTTATTGGAAGGAAGAGGGAGCATGGGTTGGTACAGTAGTCGAGTAATGCTTATCTGCTAATGTTTCAAGGGTATGTACTGTTGTTAATGGGTAAGTGTTTTTTGAACACGTTTTTATACTGTTGCAAACGGATTAAATTGCGTTAATGGTTAACAGGTACGTACTGTTGTGTAACGGGTAACACTGTTCCAAACAGGGAAACACTGTCCGTACCGGTCGTTACTATTTACGGGGTCGGCATTGTTCATAGCAGGCGGGTACTATTCACGGAATCGTTACTGTTCATATGACGGGTATATAGGTTTAGGAGTATAGGGTAGATTGATGGTAGGTAATTTGTCGAAGACGCTCTAACATGCTCTTCAGTCCTGCTTGTGAAGAATAAAATGCTACATAACATGATAAATAATCGGTGGAAGAACTCTAGGCCCGCTAAATTTGGCAGAATTTTTTTTGGGCCGAATTTGAAAAAATACTGCTTCTAATTGAATTGTTGTGAGAGAAAAACACACATATTAGGTTGAAAAAAGAAGTCAATGTTCGAATATGAGGTAAGTCCGTAATGGGGTCTCATGAGTGCAACCAACTATGGTCCCCCCTCCTTCAGTCCTTACGGACTCTTATCACCATTGATCCCCCCTCTCTCCCCTCGGCATATCTTTCGAGGCGGAGGAGTGAGGATCCATCATTTTAATAAATTTCTAGTAAATCGAGTTGTTAGGGTTAGCGTCTTTCCATGCAAGTTTTTTGGTTTTGTGGATTTATTTCCTCCAATCTCTGACGGAATGCGAGAGGCGGTGGTGGAATCGTTTTCTCTATGCCGGCTCTGTTGAAGATGAGAGGCGACAACCACTGGCGTCAGCATCCTCACTGGTTTAATGACATGGAGACTTTTATTTTGGGGACGGCGATATCAAGGCGGAGATGGTGTTGCAGACCATGGAATAATTTTCTCTGGTTTCTTCTCCGTTTTATTATGGTTAGATCTGGCCACGATGAAGGACCAAGGAGAATAAGTTTGAGATCGGTCTACCTCGAGGCACAAAAAGAAGAAGGAAGACACCAGAGAAAGAAGAAGTTTATCAACTCCGCCTACATGAATATTGGTCGCCGTTCGATTTGGGCATCTGTTCTCGTGCCTTTTTGCGAAAGTGTTTACTGTATGCAAGGTTATCCATACTACAAAGCGTCGTATATGTTTGGTTTTGAGATTCGGAACTATTCACTGGTATGTACAATTTAGATAAAAATCGTTTTTAGATATTTGTGTAATCCAGTGCTTGTAATATGTTGATGTAACCCAAACTATTATCTAATATAATATAATTTTTCTTTCGTGGAAAAAAACGTGATAAATAATCGTTATAAATATTATTGGCCTTTTCTTTATAATAACCCATCTCATGTTTATTTTTTGACAAGAAGTCAAGAAAGACCCAGTGAGCTAGATCTATGTATGGTGACGATGCAAGCATGCACGGAGCGGTGCTTCACAAATCATCACGGCGGTGAAATCCAGTGCCTCCCGCCATGTCCAACGCGGCGGCGGCGACGCCACACCATCCACCTTCCACTGCCATTCCACTCCACTCCACTCTAGACATGGATGCGTCACATCCCACGTGGAGCTAATGCCTAGCGACGATGCGTGCACGGAGCGGCTGCTTCATAACGACGGTGAAGTCTAGCTCTTCCGCCATGTCCACCGCCGCGCCATCCACCGGCGGGCGCCACCCAGGTCCCGCACCATCCTCGCCACGAAGTACTCAGCATGGTGGATGCCGAGCGAGTAGCCAGGGCACATGCGCCGCCCAGCGCCGAAAGGCATCATCTTAATCTCCCGACTGCCAGTGATGTCAACGCCACAGCCGTCCCCGCCATCCAGGAACCTTTCCGGCCGGAACTCCCGCGCCGCCGTCCACACCTCCTCGTCGCGGCCGATCTCCGCCACTAGGAAGTTCACCTCCGCGCCCTTGGACACCGTGTAGCCGCCCACGTCCGCGTCATCGCCACGTACGCCGTGCGGGAGCACGAAGTGTCCCGGTGGGTGCAGGCGCAGGCCCTCCAGCACCACGGCCTTGAGGTACGGCATCGCCTGGACCTGGACGTCGCCGCCGCCGTGCTCTGCCGGATTGGACGACGATCTAATCACCTCCTCGTGCACCTTGGCCTGCACGTCCGGGTGGTTCAGCAGTTCGGCCATGATCCACTCCACCAGCGTCACCGTCGTGTCCGTCCCGCCGTTGAGGAACTCGGAGCAGAGGCTGACCATCTCGGCGTCCGTGAGCGGGCGGTCGCCCTCATCTGGCACTCGCAGCGCGCGGAGCGAGTCCGCGTAGCACGGCGGGTCGTCGTTCCCGCGCGTGGCATGGATGAGAGGCACGAACAGCTCATCCTGTCTCCGCCGCACCGCGACGTTGGCCTCCCACCGGCTGCGGAAGAGACGCTTGGTGACCGCGGGGAAGAAGGCGAAGATGGGGAAGGTGGTGACGGACCGGAGCACGCGGTGCTGCAGGTCCTCGATCTCTTCGAGCACGTCCTGGCCCAGCCGCTCTCCGAAGCACATGTACACGAGCAGCTCGAACATGGCGCGGCGGAGGAACGGCCGCAACGTGACGGCGCCGCCGGCGTCGTCTTCACCGGCACTTTGCCTCCGTAGGCTGTCGACGAGGCCGTCGCACGCCCACCGCCTAGCGGGCGCGAAGAGGGCGACGCGGGCGGGCTGCAGCGCCTCAGCCGCAAGGTTACGGCGCACGAGGCGCCAGTAGGCTCCATAGGGCGAGGAGCTGACGTCGCGGCCGCCGGCGGTGAAGAGGCTGTTTGGGTCGACAGGCGGCGGGCGGTCGGCGAAGGTGGCGCCTCCCTGGACGAGGATCCGGTGCGCGAGGCGTCGGTCGGCGACGAAGACGAGCGTGCGGGCGAGGCGGAGCGAGATGACGGGGCCGTAGCGCGCGTGCATGTCGCGGAGCAGCAGGGCCAGGTCGAAGATAGAGCGCCGCAGCGACAGAAACTTGGCGAGGAAGAGCAGCGACGGCGGGCCTGGCGGGAGGCGGCCGGTGCCGGCCTTGCGGTTCTTGTGGCCAAGGGCGAGGAGGACCAGTGAGAGGAGACGAGGGCGATGACGACAGTAGTAGCACCGGAGGTGGAGGAGGAGGAGTCCGTCTCCATTGCTGTCGCCAGGAAGGGACTGCTGTGGCTGCCGGTGGCCGATGCCTCCGGGATTTGATTTGATTTCTGCGCGCGACGTTATCGGTGCTTGGAAACGCATGGCAACCGTGTCCTTAAATTGCTGCTGCTCCGTTGGGAAAGAAATATCTCGTACACTTGGCAGCATCGTTGTCGAGTAAGAAGAAGAGTGCGTGCACAGGCCACATACATCGATATTCGATACAGATCGGAGATGGTATTTATCTCAAAGCACAGGAATTTCCTCCAAAATTTACAGGAAACAGACGAACGTACGTGTGGCGAAATATGTGCCTTGAGAAAAGAAGAAAGAAAAAAGGCAAGAAACTAATCCATGAAAATTGTCGCGTTTCTCTAGAAGAAGAAGATAGTATAAATCAGGACCGGAGAGGCCAACTATCTATCCACTTGCAGGACTGTTCTTCGACCACAGTTCAGGCCAAGTCATCCACGACGACTTCAGAGCACCTAGCAGTAAGTGCTCGTGCTCCCTTCCTTCTGGAAACAATGTAATTCTAGATTTGATTAGAATCAAAGTAACTTAAGTTTCACTGAGTTTTTAGATATAGTATCAACATTTAAGACTCCAATTAGATATATTATAAAAATATATTTTACGACAAATATAGCCATACATATTTAGTACGATTAAAACTTAAAATAGATTGATTGAGCTGCTCTACAATTGTATTTTTTAGAGCACAAAGAGTACATTATTTATTATTATATCTCTATATAACCGTGGAAAAAAATATTCCCTATAAGCTGTCAAAACAGTTCCCTACTCCAAAAATTAAAGATCTTGGCAACTCGCTCTACACATGCCACTGCACGTCTTAAAATATACAACTTGAATCTATATTCTAAACGATTAAGGCTCTGTTTGGATTCGTGGTCTAAAATTTTACCCACTAAACTTTGGATCACTTTAGCTCTCGAGGCTCTAAACAGGAGTCTAAAGTAGTATCTAAAGTTTAGACAGCCTCATAAAAACTTTTAACATAAAAGTGAATTGAAGTGGTCTAAAGTTTTAGTCTTTAACTTTATTAGCCAACTAAACTTTGGACTTGAGAAATGTATTGTGTGTGTTTTTCCATTGGAATTTGGTTTTATACCCCCAAAAGCTTAGGATTGTTAATATTGCAACACTAAAAAAAGTTACAATCCATTATCTAAAAAAAGTTACAATCAAATGAAAATAGATGTTCATACAATGAGAATGTGTCCCATTTGAATAAAAATGTTTTTGACTAGAAGACGGTAACACGAGTTTGATACAAGCTTATAACATTGTTCACTTGTATTAGGCCCCATCCATGAGGCCCGCGACGACAAAAGATGCTCGGCGATCCTCCGAGAGGTATTCCACGAAGGTAGATTGATCGGACAGAGTGTAGCGTGATCGAGAACTAGATGGTAAATGAGACACAAGACATAAGATTTATACTGAGTTCTGGGCCATCGATGTGGACGTAAAACCCTACGTCCTATGCTCTGTTGTTTGTATTAATGAGATGATTCGAGAGGGGTCCCCGCCCGCCTTTATATAGTCTTAGAGGCGAGGGTTACAAGTCGATTAGATCTAGATCTATTCGGCTATATGAGAAGTATTTACAAGGAATATGACATCTATCATACCCGAACATATCCTTCTCTATCTTCAAGATTCTTCGATTGCCTTGCGGTGCCGCGCCACCCAGAGCCGAAAGCCGTGAGGCCTTGATATATATGGGTGGACCTCCTCGGTGGTGCGGCCCATGTCTTATCCTATGGATACCGGGGTCATATCCCACAGCTAGTCCCCGAGCGCCTTTGTATCCGCTATGCACGCTGTTTTTGATCAAGTCCGAGCAATTTAACATGAAGTCGATTAGTTTTTGTGACGACTGGCGGTGAAAGTCGGCCGACCGCTAAAGCTGGTGACCTGGGCGGTGAAAGTCGTAGCCAACCAGTTAAACTGGTGACTTGAGCAGTGAAAGTTGAAACCGACCAGTTAAACTGGTGACCTGGGCGGTGAAAGTCGAAGCCGACCAGTTAAACTGGTGACCTGGACGGTGAAAGTCAGAGCCGACCAGTTTAACAGGTTAATCGATCTCGGACATAGCCAAGTAAGGCATGCCAGAATGATGTAAGGGGCTCAAGATAAAAATTGAAAAATCCTCAGGCAAAGTGTAGCCACGTAGACTCCGTTTGCGAGGAATCGTCCATGACTTAGTCAATAAGGAGGGTAAATCAAGAAAAGAGCACTACATTCACCGCTAGGTGAAGTGTAGCCACTTAGTCCCCGAGCCTATGGAAAGATGAAGAAATAAATCTTGTAGCAGGGTCAAAGAAAATAAGCCTGAAAGTTTACCAATGTCATCTGTCATGTGCGTATCAAGACCCCAGACGTGCTGCCCAAAATCAGCACCCTGATCCGAACAGCATGGAGCAACTTGATATCACACCGATGAGACGTAGAAAGATCCGACCATCAAGGGAGTCCCCAACTTAGCTGGCGACGCTTGCACGAAGAATCCGAACATCGAGGAGTCCCCAGTGTGGCTGGCGACGCTTGCACGAAGAATCCGAACGTCGAGGAGTCCCCAGCGTGGCTGACGATGAAGCGACGGATAATCAGACCAGTTGGTTGGCGAAGAATCGAGCACCGAGCAGCCCAACCAATTGGTGGCGTGGCGAATGTTGGAAAGAAGTGAACACCGAATACAGTCGATCAATCGGTCGGGCGACGAAGTCCATGAACCTAAGCGGTCCGACCGGTTGGTCGGTGAAGATGTCCAAACACCGAGGAGTCCCCAGCATAGCTAGCGATGAAGCGACGAACAATCCAAACATTGAGGAGTCCCCATCGTGGCTGGCGAGCCCCCAGCATAGCAGACGATGAAGCGACGGACAATCCGACTAGTTGGTTGGCGAAGAATCGAGCATCGAGCAGCCTAACCAACTGGTCGACGACGAAGTGAGCGCTGAGTAGAAGTGAACACCGAACAGTCCGATCAACTGGTCGGCGACAAAGTCCATGAACCTAACGGTCCGACCGGTTGATCGGCGGAGAAGTCCGAACACCGAGGAGTCCCCAACTTAGCTGGCGATGCTTGTACGAAGAATCCAAACACCGAGGAGTCCCCAACATAGCTATTGATGAAGCGACGAACAATCTAAATGTCGAGGAGTCCCCAGCGTGGCTGGCGATGAAGCGACGGACAATCCAACGAGCTTGGTTGGCGAAGAATTGAGCAAAGCAGCCCAACCAACCGGGTCGGGCGCGTGAAGTGAGCGCCGAGTAGAAATGTCCGCCGAAACAGTCCGATCAACTAATCGGCGACGAAATTCATGAACATAGCAGTCCGACCAGTTGATCGGCGGAGAAGTCTGAACACCGAGGAGTCCCCAGCTTAGCTGGCGATGCTTGCACGAAGAATTAGAACACCGAGGAGTCCCCAGCTTGGCTGGCGATGAAGCCCATGCGATGAGCAGTCCAACCCACTGGTCGGCGGCAAAGTGAACGCCGAGCAGGAGTGAGTGCCGAGCAGTCCGACCAGTTGGTTGCCGGTGAAGTCCGTTCGATAGGTGGTCCGACCACTCGGGCGATGATCATCTTATCCAGTCCTTGAGCGTAAGCTCGTTGACCGAGCCATGCCCCTGCGAAATAAATATACATAATGGGTAGTATACGATGTAAAAATAAATATATGAATTCGACGATGAAGGCAACAGAGCGGAATAGATAAACATTATGTTTGTATGAAGTGTTCATATTTTAAATATGATTAACTTCCTGCCAGTTGGTTCTGTATCGCATCACCAGCCCAACTAGCCCAAACTCTATAGCGCGGAGTGGTTGGCACCCGTGTACGCGTAAGAGCACAGGCGTCGCCGAGGAGCCACTGCCGACCACCCATAACGTAGAGGGCTGGCGCTCGTGTACGTGTAGGAGTGAGATCGAGAATAAGGTTGTTTCTGGTAACGCAAGTTAGAACGTGGCTGGTCGTCGAGTTTACAGAGAATATGTTCAAGATATTGCATTATGGAGCATCTTAAACATGGAGATATTAAACGTGGAGACATTTAATTATGGAGAATAACTGCAGAAATAATAATTAGAGAAGCACAGCGAAAACTCGGAGAAAATAATTGGAGAAAGCTGCATTAAATGCAGATATAGGAGAGGTACTTAGCTTTAGTCAAAACGTCTGATCGGTGACGTATGACGTTGCCCGGCCCTCGAGCTTTTCGGCGACTCAGGCGGCTCGCTGGGTGGCTCGCTTAGCGGCTCGGATAGCTCGGGCGGCGACTTCTCGAAGTTCTCTCTGATCGGAGTCAGAGTAGTCGAACTCAGCGGGCGGAATCGGCTCGTCGATGATGCCGCCGACGAAGTGGTTTACGATCCTGACGAGGCGGTTGCATCTTCGTCCACGAGGCACCTCAGCTTGCATGCCTCACGGAGATATGCGAGCCAGACGGAGACCTTGGCTATCTTTAGCTTGCATGGCACTGTGGATCATCGCGGTCATGCCTGGCTTGCTAGCCACTTGTGCATGCAGCCGTGATGATGAACACAACTGAATTCCTGAAATAATCATATGTATATGTAGATATCCAGATACATATTATATCATAGAATATTGTAGATTGAAAATTAAAGGTTGACTTAGCTTTGTTTGGGTCAAGCGGAGGCGTCGCCCGATCAGCTGATGGAGAGTCTCCCCATGAATGACATACGTGTATATGCATGCATTGCTGCTCCACATAAGACGCGTCTTGATTATTTGCCTCGGGATCTTGTCAGCTGATGCACACGTGGTGCCGCCGAGTACTCCGAACTCCATAGCCTGGAGCCACGGTTGATGACGCATCGAACTGGACGTACACTACTAGAGAACAGACTTTAGAACGATGTTCCAATTTAGCATTAGCCTCGGCATTTTTTGTCCCTGGGACTAAAGGTTCCTTTACTCCCGGTTAGAGCCACCAACCGGGACTAAAAAGTCCTCCAACCTTTAGTCCCGGTTGGTAATACCAACCCGGACTAAAGGTACATCCTTTAGTCCCGGTTGGTAACACCAACCCGGACTAAAGGTC